TGAAGAATGTACACTGTGAAATCATAACTTTTCTCTTTCATTAGCACATTTCTAAATCTGTGGGCAATAAGATTAATTTTTTTTTAATTTAAGCTTGTTTTGAAAGAACTATTAAAAATCAGAGTTTCCTTTTAAATCCACAAAGTAGATTTCTTTCAAATGTTCATGGGTGGGGGCTGATAAATGGGGATGTAAGAGTTCCCTTCTTCTAACAGGATTTCCAAAATATTTATTTCATGTATGTATTTGAAATATCAAACCTTCCTAAACTTTTTCCTTAGTACAGGTCCTTTAGACTTTTTCCTCTGTTCCAGCTGTGAAAAATTCTGCTGTGTGGCAGATGCAAAGTCTAAGCTGCAGAGGAATGGCTGTGTGAACCCTATAAATCTCAGCCAAATGTTCATGGCTATTCTCAACACATGATGATTGTGTAAATCTATAAATACTTAGCTGTCCTCTAATGAGCATCTCCTGGTTGGAAATAAAATTGGGTTCAAGCAAAGCCAGCAAGTTTTAAAAAAAATTTCAATTTGTCTTTCAACAGGAAAGTACTTTCATCTCTAAAATTGTCAGGGAGTGCTATGTCACTGCATTATTTGGATCACGTTTGAATAAGAAGAAAGCCTTGAGTTTTGATTTCAGTTTTGAGACAACATCCTCCTTACGGATCAGACTGTTTAGATTAGCTGTTTTATATTAAGCCGATCTGAAATCTGACCCAATAAATAAATAAATGTGAAATGTTGCACATCAACGTTTAGTTTATTCTCCATGGAGTTTTCTTGTTCGTGTGCTGGTAACGACCAAGCACTTGGCTTCTATTTGGGGAGAGCTGCCTTTCATTTTTTTTCCAAACAGTTGTTATTTTTTATGGCACAATTTTAAATAATGAATGCAGGTTTCAAGAACACTACTGCTATGCTGGTTGCCCATTAATGCAGGGCATGTTCACATTATTTGTGCTTAAAGTGGTGCCCCATAGTACAAACACATCAAATTGAAGGTCGTTTTTATGAAATATGGTCTTAAGCTCTTGGTGCTCCAAAACATGATAATATGCTTCTACCTTTCCAAAGCACTTTGAAATCCATAGAATTCAAGCATCAAGGCACATCTCCAGCATGGTCACACTGTGAAGCAGAATTGCAAATCTCCTGGGACTTTGTGTCCTTGTGAGTTCTCTCTGCCTTCCTCACTTCTGCTATTCTTCCCACCCTTTCCAGGCTCTTTTCCACCACTGCTGAATCAGACCCTTGCCATGTCTGGGAACTGATTTCTGGGTCCTCTCCTTTTCAGTAGCAATGACAGCAGCAGGTGACACAGGCATTGTTCCAGTTAGCCCTTATCATTCAACTCTTACTCTGGTTTGGGTCAGAGGTTTACCTTTGTCCTTTTTTATTTTCTTTTCCTGCAAAGGAAAAACACGTGAGCACTTTTTTTGAGCCAGCAGAGGAGACACATGCTTCATGTTGTATCAGTGTCTGCTGGAGAATGAAATGCCCAATAAATCTGTCCTCGAGCACCATCTGATGGGGAAAGTCATGTATTGACTGAGGACAACGTTCTTGCTTTATCAAGGAAACCAGATCTTCAGCAGTGACTGGGAAATTTGCCAAAGCCACACAGAAATATTTTGTTACCAGATGGACTCCCCAGTACACTGTAGTATAGATATTTTAGTGCATTTTTGATGAAGAAATCCCAGTTTTAGGGAGAACATGAGAATACAGTTCCACTCTGAATTAGGGTTTTCAGGATTTCCCCTTCAGTTTCTGAGAGGCCTATAAAATGAAATAGGATAAGAAAGTAGGTATAACAAGGCCTGGAGGAGATAGACACCCAGTTACCTTTTTTAGGCAGATACTTGAAAAAAACCCCAAGAATAATTTGCCAAAAGAACTAAAATTTTAAGGGCAGTCCTACTTTGCACTAAAGTATAATGCAAATCCCACTGAAACCAGTTAAACAAAAGAAAACCTTGCTGCATAATAATTTAAAATTTTGAGAATATCCTTCTGTACTAAAGCCACATAGAAATCACATGGAAAAACAAAGTTAAAATTTTTGCCAAAATAACATGCCTGCTGTTATGAAGGGTATCTTGGGCTCTCTGGAAGCAAACACACTACACCCTGCACCAACTTTTTCAAGAGCTGCCAAGTCCACCAATTCCAGACATCAGCTGACATTCTAAGAAATGTTTTAGCTGGTCACCATTTCCAGAATGGTCCAAGTTGTGTCAACATCCTCCAGCCCCTGAAGAAAAGATGAAAGATTTTGAAATTGGATGTTGGAATGATTTTTGTACCACAAGAGCTCTGATCCAATAAAAATATCCTTGTTAATGTGCATAAATATGACATCCTAATTGCCACAGGTTTTGTTTCAGAAAGTAATTTTTTGCCACAAAAAGGAAAAGAAATTCTAAATACTTCAGCTTACTTAATTTTTCATCTCTGAGACCTCCTATTTATTAGATATTTGACAGAATGGAAGACTGGTTCTTACTCTGTAGCACATCTCAAAAAAAATAGTTCTTTGGTGCTGAGATAAAAAATAATTAAAAATTTGAATTAGTTTATCTTTGTAAATTAAAACAGAAGTTTTTCAAGACTTCCCTTTAAAATAAGCTGTATACTATTGCATTTCTAAAAGCAGTCTGACCTCAATTACATTCATTTGATTCTCAAAGTTCAGGCTTCAGTACACTCTCACAAGATTCATGATCTTACAAGATTCATGATCAGCTCTTTGTGAATTAATCTTCAATAGTATAGCAATAACAACGCAGGCAAGTCTTTGGTTTCCAAATGCCGAAGTGCCAGGCTATAAAGGATCATTTACCCAAGGGTATCCTACAACACTCATAACCATATTGGCAGTGTCAGCACCCACAGAGGTTCCCAGGAGCAGGAATGTAATGGCTCTACAGAGAACCTGAATTAATGAGCAAGCCAAATCATAAACAGCACTTGTCCTATTTTGTTGCTGCATTATCTGCTCAGTAATCAACTTGCTCTCAGAAGATGAGAATGGTACTGACCTCTGTGATGGTGCTGCAGAAGAAAGAAAACTAGACAAGAAATGGAAGTCTGCAGAACTGGTGAATTGGGTTTGCATGGCAATGTTTTGGTAGCAGGGGGGGATAGTTGTGGCTCCTCTGAGAAGCTGCCAGAAGCTTTCCCTTTGTCTGACCAAGCCCATACCAGCTGGCTCCAAGATGGACCCACTGCTGGCCAAGGCCGGGACAATCAGTGTCTAACAACATATTAAAAAAGGAAAAAATAAGTTCTTTCACAGAAGCAGTTGTGGCCAGAGAAGACACAAGTGAAACAACCCTGCAGACACCAAGGTCAGTGCAGGCGGGGAGGAAGTGCTCCAGGCTGTGGAGCTGAGATTCCCCTGCAGGTTGTGCTGAAGACCATGGTGAGGCAGCTGTGCCCTGCAGTCCTTGGAGGTCCACAGGGAGTGGATATCCACCTGCAGCCTTTGGAGGACCCCATGTCACAGCAGGTGGATGCCCAGAAGAGGCTGTGAGCTCATGGGAAGCCCACACAGGAGCAGGCTCCTGGCAGGACCTGGACCCATGGAGAGAGGAGCCCAGTGTAGAGCAGGTTTGCTGGCAGGACCTGTGACTTGGTGGGGAACTCACACTGGAGCAGTCTGTTCCTGAAGGACTGCACCCATGCTGGAGTGGTTAGTGAAGAACTGCAGCCCATGGGAAGGACTCACATCATAGAAGTCCATGGAGGACTACCTCCTGTGGGAGGGACACCATGCTGGAGCAGGGGAAGGACTCCTCTTTGAGCAGCATCAGAAAAAATGTGTGATGAACTGACCGTCTCACTCATCTCCCTGCACTGCAGCAGGGGAGGAGGTAGAGCCTGGGAAGGAGGGAGGGGTAGCAGGAAGGTGTTTTTAGAATTTATTTTAATTCTTATTATCCTGCGCTCTGATTTTGATTGGTAATAAATTCAATTATCTCCCCAAGTTGAGTCTATTTTTCTCATTACAGTTATCAATGAGCGATCTCTCCCTGACCTTAACTCGAGTCTTTTGTTAGATTTTCTCTCCTTTCCCCTGTCCAGTTCCAGAGGGGTGTAGCTTTGGTGGGTACCTGGTGTGCAGCCAGGGTCAACCCCCCACAACTGGTATGTTTATAAAGGATCTCTTCAAAAGTGCACAGCCTACCCCAGCAGGAAAAAAAATCCCTTTGCTTCATCATTTAAAAGCAACAAAATCAGTATGTATATACGGCCTCTTCAACATGAGCTGATCAAAATCATCAGAGAAGTCACTTACCAAAGGGAAAATTTTGAAGGGCAAAGACTAAAAAAACCCAATAAACCAACCCAAAACCTAACCCTTCCTACAGGCCCAAGAAAACCAACCCAAAATAAAGTAACAGCAAGCAAGAGAAAAATCTTAATTTGCAGTGGTTTGCTGGCAGAAATTGTTTTCCTTTAGTCCATATTCAGATCTGGTTTGTTACAGTCTCCTACAGAAGATACTACAACTGGATTCAAGAAACAGCTGAGTAATTCAGTAGTTTGCCCACTACACTATAGCCAAAATTAGCTGCAACTGCTCCTCCCTCAACTTAAAAGGGGGAATCACATCTCTGTATCTGCAGGAATGTCATTGACTCTTCACTCTCTGAACTTGCATGGTTATAGCAACTAAGAGGCAACACAAAGGGTGCAAATGTGGTCTCCAGGCACCAGGAACACTAGCTTTAAGGACTTCATCTCAAAATTGCAGGATTTTCCATTTTATATGATTTCTTCTTTTTCATTCACTGCCAAGCCACTTCCTGGTTGAATCCTTGGTTCCTGCACCCTTTATGAGAAATGTAGAGAAGTTCAAATTATTTTAACCATGGCTTGAGGAAAAAAAGTAAAGCATCCACACTTCATATTGACTTGAACATTTCTATTTTGTGCTGTAGCTTCAGCAGAGGAAGATGGGGAAAAAAACACAGCGACATGATGTATGTGGAATGTCACTTTATTTCTAGTCCTCAAGGAAAAAAAAATAGTGCAATTTTTCTGTACCTGTACAGAAAAGAAATGTTTCTGTGGCACTTCAGGAATCATTTTGTCCTCCAAGAAGTAAAAATCTTCTGTAAAATGTGTTGCAATGTGTCCCCAAGACCATAGGCTTCCACAGATTTCTCAACTGTGAGGCTTTTATAACCAATATTCAGTAGGGTATGTATTAGGATAGATGTTCACAAAGATTAAATCAGTGCAGCAATTTAGAAGGGTAAATGTTATGTTACATCATATAAATAAGTATTGGAAAAATTACTAAATCACTCATATATATTAATTTTTGAAGCTTTTTTTTCAACCCTTTTCCTTAACCCCTTGCTAGAGATGCAAAACAGAATTCCCTTACTTACAGAAGCATAGTTTTAGGTCAAGAAAAAAAAAACAAAAAAACAAAAAACAAAACAAAACAATACAAACCCCAAAAAAACCCAAAAACCAACTTAAAAGATGTAAGGAAAGAAAATAAGAAATTTAGAGCAATAATGTTTTGGGCATCTACCGAGAGATGTCAAAAGAAGATAAGAGACTTGAAAATGCCTCAAGTTCCTAGGGAGAAATGAAACACATAATACTGTAATAAAGAACTCTGAGGATATGTACTGAAATCACAGTAGGAATAAGACACTGATTATGTCAATAAATAAAATTAAAACAATTCAGAGTTCCATATATGAATTCCTATGGTGCTGCCACTGGAATCACTGAGGTTTCAAAAATTATTTGAATGCTAGTAGGCAGTGGAAAAAGGTAAAGAAGAAAATGAAAATAAAAAATGTGAGCACCATTCATGACTCACCTGAAGCAGGAAGAGTGTTTGCACTGATGTGTTCCAGGAGATAACTAAATTGTATAAAATCCCCCCCCCAACCAAACACTCACAGAGCTGACTTTGTACCTTCATCAAGTAATAATGAAGATCATAGAGAACATTATCAGAGCAAAATACACTTTTCCCATGTTTCATATGAAATACAAACAATGCTGACTGGCAAGTAATGAGCTTGAACAGTAAATAGCATAGGAATGCTACAACTCTGTTCAGCTAAGCCATGCACACAGATGAGGACTAAAACACCAACAAACCTGTATTTCTCTTGTCACCAAAGTGTCATTTATGCCTGAGATGAGACAGGATGCATTAATCCAGATCCTTGAACTACTGCTAGATGCTCCTTTACACTTTTTACAGTCATTTGAGAGAATTAAGAAGGAAATTTTTCTTAAAATGAGGGTACAAAGTTGCACAGGAAATACAAATAAAGGAATTATGACAATAATACAAATAAATACAAATAAAGGAATATAGTTCCTCAGTAGAAACTATTACTAAACAGAAGCCACCAGTTCAAATTTCGATAAAAACTTCAGCCTCAGTATCAGTTTGAATGGTCTTGTATTAATCTCAGATTAGGTCTTCTAGTACATGAAGTTAGCACATACCCAATTCTGTTACTTGGGAAAGACCAGGAATCAGCAGGGGTTGCATGATTACCCCAAAGTGCCTAACCAAGGTCTGCAGAAAGTTTTGTGGACAAAATATACTACACAAAAATCACATAAGCAAACATCCTATTATATAAAGTACTGTCACAAAAGACAAAAGGAAACAGACCACAGCATAAGAAATTAAGGCCAAACATAGCGCAAATTCTCCCTCTGATTAAATAACAAAAATTCACCTTTGATTACCCTTTTTTAACCATCTTTCAATCTAAACACTGTTTCAAAAATGAGCTACACGAAGGATTTGTGCGTTTCCTGGCATTCTTTTTTTCCCCTCCAGAACGGTTAAAAATCCATTTAAAAAATCACAACCAGGACAATGTAGTAACATCTGCCCTCTTAGAAATGTCCTAGTGGTACCTGTTAGAATAACATCTGTCTACACTTAAATCCCTGCAGCAGAAATACATATATAGACTTGCTAACATGGGAACATGATGTGCTTTAAAAATCATGTAATTATTGTACAAGCCTGGCAGATGAAAATACACCTGTGCAATCCAAGATTTTGACTACTGATCTTTTAACTTCACGCTTCCACGACTACAGTATTTTTGTTTGTTTGCATTCATTATCACAATAGCAACTAATGCTAGTCCCACAGCTAGACTTGGAGGGCCACAAGGACTGAACTCCTGAGCAATTCCAGAAAGGAGTGGGGCAATAATACGTCCCACTGATGTCACTGACTGTCCAACACCTAGGAGTGTACCGCTGGCCTCGTTCCCACCAACGGTCAGTTCCAGATCAATGATACAGGTACGGCCTATAGTAGTGGAGAAGGCCAAGAACGTGGAGGACAAAATGACCATCCATATGCTCAATGCTGAAGCATACAGGAGAATCAGCACGCAGGTAAAAGTGCTGGAGTGCAACAAAAGTCTGTAAGTGTTGTGATGATAGAGTCTCGTTATTGGTCCGAGCAGACAACCAGCCAGGACTCCAAGTGCACTGCTATAGCTCATTAGGTATCCAGCAAACAAAGGTTTCACCCCAAATCTCTCCTCCAAGGCCAGAGTAAAATTACTATAGTACAGCAGGATAGCAACAGACATCAGGAACCGCACTAAAAATACATCCCACAAATTAGAGCACGCAATTCCTTTAATCTTCTTCAGCACTGTTGCAACTTGGATCCATGGAGACTGAAAAAAACTACTGTTTGTCACAGTTCTACTAGTTGCTGATTTCAGGTGAAGGTCATGATTTGATTTTGCTGAGAAACTGTTTGTTCCTTTGTCTTGGTAATGGCCCCTACTGCTAGTGTTTTCTTCACTCCAGGGTAACATCCAGACAAGACCTATATAGATCAAGAAATTAGTTGATTTCATTCAATTTCATCAACTTTACATGGAAGACATTAGTTTGATTGTAACAATTTAAAAAAAATACTTCAACATACTTGTCCTTAAAAAAATTTGCAAATATTAAGTCTAGTGTTATTCATAGTATCGGCTGAATTTTAAATGCAGTGAAAGCAAGAAAAGAAAGCACTGAAATGCCACGCTCACACCATATAAACAAATCTAATGGCTAAAGCCAGAATTCTGATTTCTAGTCTTTGTCTTTGGGCACATCAAAAACTCCTATTTGTGTCTGAATGTAAAAGAGATATATGCAAAACAAAGGAGAAGCACCTGGAGGATAACTGTTTCAAAATTCCCATCCTTCCACACAAGTTCAAATTCAAACAGTAGTATTGGCATACAAAGCATTTATGCCATAGATGATAAACACACTGTGAATTCAAGGTATTATAGATGGCTTAAAAGGACAAAATGAGGAATGAAGAGACCCAAGATGCAAAATGTGACATGCAACTTACCACCATTCAGAAGGAAGATAGAGGCACAGATGAAGGATGTTTGGTAAAAGCCACCTTCGAACTCTGCAAGGTAGCCACCAACAACAGGTCCCAGAATGAAGCCCACACTGGAGGCTGCATTGAAGCGCCCCATTACTAAAGGGCGATCCCTCTCTGAAACCAGGTCAGACAGCAGGGCTTTAGAGATGGAAAGTGTGTGTTTGAAAATACCTGCAACGAAATATAAACAAATCAACAAACATGTATTTTTCAAAAAAAAGACAGAAGCTATCTCCACAACAATGGTCCAAATAACAATGGTCCAAAATTGTAAGATCTATATTTTCAAAGTTCCATTAATCACAAATTTTTTCAGTGCTAGAGTGAGCAGCCTTGTGGGGTTTAGATGCCTGGTGGGTTAAACCTCAACATTGCAAATTATTTTCAGGAAAAAAATCATGAGAATTCTCGCTCTGTAGAGACTTTTCCAACAGGAAGTTTCAGTTGCTGCTACTGGGTGATGATACTATGCAGTCATCCATCCATAAACCATGATTTCTCCTGTAGTAATTCTCAGGCTGAGACTACACAGAATTTAAACTGCAGAATGCCAAGTGTTTACATACCTACAGGGACTCTAGAAATAGCAAACAGGAACACTGTGGTGGAATTTCCAAGGAGGAAGTAACCCAGTGCACTGAGAAGAATACAAGCAAGCAGGGAATACCGTCTTCCTACTATATCACTCCAGCAGCCCTTTCACAAAGGAGGAAAGAAAGATTAACTTTTTATAATAGTGAGCTATGTGCAGTGATCAATCAATACATCTACATTAAATTGAGAAAAGAGGTCAAAGGACTGTCAATGAAAGCCTAATAATCTTATTACACAACATTCCTAAGTGCTCAAAATCTGGAAGTCACAACCAGAGTTCTGCCTGGCTGGCAGGCTGCCTGCCAAAACTGTGATTCCACTTAATGTTGTGTATAGAGCCTTTTTTAATAAAAAATCTCCCTTTTAGAAAGACAGTCCTGCAATAAATACCACAAAACATTATCAGTAGAAGCCTTCTAACAGCCTTACCATAACCAACCCCAAATATTTGCTTGCATCACTAAGGCTGCTATGTATTAGACACTTGTTTAGGGTCCTAAAAGCAATAATCTTGGCTATGAAGAGTTTGTCATCTGAGCACAGACAGGTAAGAAGTAGTTTGCAGAGGGCAAACAGAAAACTTGCATTTATCATGTTTATAAATCAGCTTGATTCTCAAGAGGAAATATCTTTTTAAGAAAGTAGACAATGGTTTTGCACTTCATAGAAAATGCCACAAAATCATAGCAGGAAATTATCCCAGGTGTCCTGCATAACAAACCCTGAAACAGTTCTTTTATGAAACTTTCTCATAATCTGTTCTCTTCAAAACTAGAAAACTAGTGCCAGGGTAACATTAGGATATTAAAAAATCAATAGCTAATAGAAAACCAATCAAACAGCAAAGATGCAATGATTAATTTATACCATACAATAAATTACAAGGCACTGCTCATTAAGGGAAAGCAAACCAGATCACAGAAGAGCTGACTCATGAGAGTCATGAGACTTATGACTCATCAGACTGCTTTTTGGATAGGCTACTGCTCTACTAGCACCAACACTAGAGGAGACAACCCTGTGTAACTCAGTACTGTATCTGAGCCCAAATCTGTATTCCAGTTTTTGTCTAAAAACTGTATTCTGTCAGTTTTTAGAAAAACCTGTCAATTCCCCATAAACAAAACTGCCGTTTCTCACAAAAACAGAAAATTGGTTCCTCCAATGAAAATGCTTCCATGAACACTTTATGCATTTTCAAAGTGTCAAGAAATGCTATTATTAACCCCACCCTTTTTCCCCGCTACAATCCACAGAAATACCAATATGTTCTGGAATGCAATGTTAGAACTCACCACAAATGTGCTGGAAAATAGCTGCATTACACCATAGAGAGATCCTAAAACAAACAAAATAGCAGTGTTAAAAATTAAGCTTTTTTTTAAAAATGAAAACTTCACAAAATTTTAAATGATGAAAAATGGGAAATCATGAGAATAGTTTACTAGAAGAATGGGAAGAGGGAGCAAGACAAACCAAGGGTGGAGTTTAGCATTTAATAAAGGAAATATTTTCAAAGAATGACAAAATAAAAAAGTGCTGAAAAGTTGTAACACTATGTAAATTATATTGCTTTGTATGGTGTACTGAACAAAACAGATCTTGGCATTTATAACTGCTTTCTCAAAACCAGGAGAGAATTTCCCTACTGGAAAGGACTTTCCACTTGGTGCTTCAGTTTACTACAAGGCATCACTTAAGCCCTGAAGAAAACACAGATCCTACTTTCTCATTTTGGAGGCTAGGAGTTTAGCAGCATTTAGTGATAGAAGAGAAGGAACAAAGAGAAGCAGAGAGAAACATCTGTCAGACTTTCATTTATAAGAATACACCTCAAACCTATCTTTTTTCTAATGTTAAAAATCAAAGCAGACTGTTGAAATGAAAATGTATTTCTGACTAGTTGCTGCTTAAAGTAATACTGTCAACTCAGTGTAGCAGAATTATTTCACACAAAGTGTTAAACAAAAAAGCAAAGTAATAAAAACTAAATAACAGCTTCCATGTCTGGGAATAAAGAATATATTGGATCACTCCAAACCATAAACAACACCATAAAAGGTACTTTAAAGCCACAGAACTTACCTTAGCATTAAATACTTTAAGATAAAATTCCAAATCTTCAGAATTTACTTGTAAACACTTGTAAAAGTGAATAAATATTTTGCCAAGACAGCTGTAAGAATTTTAATCAAACTGGGAACAATCATGGACATTGGAAAGCTTTGGAGAAGCAGCTGCAGAAGTACTGTTTGCAAAGTGTAAATAACAATAAAACTACAAGGAACACCTCTGGCTCCCTAAATTGCTAAGCTGTGAATTCTTGGATGCTGAAAAAGTAGCTGTACAAATGCTTCTGCAAGACTTCCTTGTTCTTTCCAATTGTGCTCTTTCCCAAGCACGTGTTTTTGGCTACTGTCAGTGCCTGAGTTTGGACAGGTCTCTGGGTCTAACACAGTATGGCTGCCCTTACAGTTTTATTTTGAAATTGTCTTTACTTTTTATTATGCTTTTAGCAAGGAAGAATTATGCTACAATGTCCAATTTGCAGTTAGGCAAAATCCAGGCCTTATCTTACTCTTTCGTAAATCAAGTAGTGCAACTCACCTATGATTCCAGCCACAGTATGACTTGCTCCTAGAGATTTGATATGAAGATTCATTAAAGGAACAACCATGCTCACTCCAAATAAGTCCTGAAACCAAGACAGGAAAAGTTTTAGTAACTTTCACAAAAAGACAATAGAAACATGGCTTAATAACAGTCAACATTAGAAATAAATTTAAAAAAAATGAATTTTCTCCATATCAACACAAGGTTAAGAGAAAATTTTTCTTATTACAAAACGCATGAACTGAAAGATAAAGTACTGCCTTACAAAGGAGTTAAACCTATAAAAACATCAATTCTCTCCTCCACTCTAGATACAATCCAAAAAAGAAGATATATATTTCAACATTAAGTATTCCCTTAATATATATTAAACTTCACTTTAACAAGAAAAGTACTTCATACCAGTGCTTTAAATTCAAAGTGGTCCAATTTCAATCACTTAAAAATACTTTTCATTTGCGCAAATGTATATTTTGAAAAACAGTATTTTAACCCAACCACAATGGGAAAGAAGATACAATAGATCTAAACCTACTTACAGCCTGCCTTTGTGTATAGCTTAAGAAATGTGACAAGACAGAAACTTGAAAAAAAAAAATAAAGAATAAAGGCAAAGCATAATTGAAAAACATTTTGTAAGAGGAGGGTAAAGGACACTTCCCATCCTGAGAAGTACAAGGATCTCCTACTCGTTCCTTTTATTACTTTTTGTTAAACTTACCACATTGACCCAGTAGTTCTTTCAGTACTACTACAATCTGGCACAGCATCCAGAGTCCCTTGGAGATCTATTGGAGCAAGATCACCTTTCATCACTGACTGCTTGAACTGAACTAGACTACCTCAAAGGCTGATTAACTGTACCAATGTGTGTCACTAAGTGAATTCTCACAGTCTGTCATTAATTATTTTTTGATGGCTGAAATTGAGGCTTACAAGGTTAGAATCATTATATACATTAGCATGAACAGCATGAACATTTGCAAATATCTTCAGTAATATAACCTTAGGTGTCATCTGTGAACTTGAAGAGAGGTTCAGTGACCTTGTTCAGGTCATCAATGGAGACATTAAAAAGTACAAGTCTCAGACTATACCCTGGCAGTACTCGACTGTCACATGCATGCAGGCAGAGCAAGACCCCCTAGCCACTATCCTCTGATGGGTAGTTATGTCTCATTCCACCTGCAATTCCTTTAGCGGAGTGATAGATACGCTGTATTTATTTGTCTGGCCACAGGAAGTTTGCATCACCACACCCTCTAAAAGGACACTCGGTTGATTTTCTTGTGTGCTCCAGCTCAGTGTCAACAAGCTATTTCAGGGCTGGAGAACCACAGCGTTTAAAAGTCAGTTAAACGGAGCAAAGTTCTCATGCATGTTTCCCTGGAATACTTGCTCCAGGACACAAACCAACTGGATTGTTTCTATTGCCCAAACTAAAAGTAGGTATGACACTACCTTGACATTTCACAGTGAAAAACTGTAGTCATTTTGTATTCATTTCCCAAATCGTCACTTTAAGTTTCAAATTAATTAAATGGCACTTTCCTGAGGCTCAGGAACCTCTACAGAATATGAACTTTTTAAAAAGTCTGTTCTTTCAAAAACAGACTTTTTAAAACAAACAAACAAACAAACAACAAAAAAGAACAAAACAAACAACCCCTTGATTTTAGGGGCTTTTTTGGGATAAATTTACAGGAACCACGGGTATTTCAAGGAAACAGGGAGCAGCTTTCTTATAAGCACCAAGGCAAGACTCAGCTTTTCGGGTGCTGCGCTATTCCATGGCACTCACAGGACAAAAATCCGACCCGTGTATCGAACTGCGGGCTGTTTACACGGGTAAAACAGCACAGCCGCTACACACCACCAGCGCCACAAACACTGGCGTTCCCAAGGAGCAGCTGCAGCGATGCACCCCCGAACCCAGCAGCCCTGGCCTGGAAAGGAGCAGATTCCCGCTCCCGGCGCGGCCGCCAGCCGCAGGCCGCGCGGGGCGGGCCCCACGGCCGCCGCTTACCAGGAATCCCACCGCGTAGAGGCACCGCACGAAGCGGGCGGACGCGGCCGGGCTCCCCACGACCCTCCGGCCTCCACCACCCTCATCCTCCTCCTCCTCCTCCATGAGGGTGGCGGCGCCGGGCCTGCGCAGTGCCCGCGGCGCGGCGGAAACGGAGAGGCGGCGGCACCGGCGGCGGGGGAGAGCCTCGGGTGTACTTCGTTTGGTCCGGTAGCCGTCGTGTGTCCTCTTTTCCGGGCGAAGATGAGGAAGAGTACGGCTCCCTGCCGAGTCGTCCGGATCCCTGCTTCCACCCTCCCACACACACCTCTGTAGGACTTTGCCCTTCCTGCCTCTTGCGTGTTTGTACGGGAAAAAATTCGTAACCCGTCCCCTTGCGGCCTGAGGCTCTGTGGAAGGCAGGAGCAGCCAGGTGGAGCCGAGGGGCTTTGGAAACAAATATGCCATAGGAGCTCGGTCGTGGATCCCCTGCACAGTTCTTGTGGTTGCTGTAGAAAGAAGGCTTTTTGGCCCTTGCACCTCCGAAGCTACCTATCCAAATGGAAAGCGGCCGTCTCCCAGCGCTGCTGCTGTTCCTCGGCCACCTGCCGGGCTCAGCCCGGTGCCTGCATCAAGTGTTTCTGGCAGAAGTGTTTTCCTGCCTTGTTACTTGGCTTGTGGTGGTGGTACTGAGCCAAGGGAGAAGGGCATCCCTCTTTCTGCTTAGCAGGTTCACTGCTGTGCTGCGTTTTTGTTAAAAGTCAGGGATAGCTGGAATTGTTGACGACTAGTATGTTATAATGTATTTGCATCCAAAGCAGTGAAACTTTCTAAATCTTTCAGATGCACTGGTGGAAATGATTGTCACATGCAAAATGTGACCACCCAACTTTATGTTGGAATCAGAGATGCTCTTTTATATAGTTGTTTGGTCAGGGATCAGTAAAACTTCTGCAGTTTTAAATACTCCTAAAAATGCACAAGGGAACAGGAGACGCTTTAATATGTTTTTAATTATCAGTAAGAAGAAACTTTTGAAAAATGTTGATGACTTCTGTTTTAAATGTTAGCATGAGTTTTAAAGTTTGAGAAAGATCATTCAATAACTGACAATAGCATAACTTCAGTTCTATCTTCATGTTTTCAGAAGAAATAAATATTCAACAACCTCAACCTCAGCAGGGTTGAGGATCTTTTACAGATTTATGTCACAAAAAAAGAAAAAGGGGAATTTGGTTTTACTTACAATTATTAAAAATTAAGCTAAAAACCCCCAAAACACCAAAACTGTAAAGAAGGACATATTTCTAGATAAGCAGCTTATTTATAAGATACAAAAGCAAAACTTAACTTAGTATCTGCATAAGGACAAAGATGTTATCAAAGTCCAGACAAGAATAACTCAGTTGTTTAATGTCCCGGTGGCTGTGATGTTTTCGTGTTGGGCTAACCAATATATCCTATTAATTTATCTCTTTGAGGCAACTTTGAATAACAAATTCTCTCAGCAAGGTTTTTAAAATTCTGGATACAACACTAATGGAGATCAGTTGCACACAATTTCTCTGAAATCGACAAAATGGTGACAAGATGCTGAAATATTAGAGCATCCTGGGAATTGCTGCTACATTGTCTGCTCAATATTGTGCTAATTTTATCCTTGATCATTTTAACTGATAGAAGAAATGGAAAGTGCCTGAAAATTTATTAGAAATATCTATTAAAGAGGTGGATGATTAAAAGATGTTGCAAGGGGTAAGGTATTTTTCCTGTGGTCTAAGGGACATTGACTTCTATGCAAACACTGAGCCCAACTGAAATTTTTAAGGTTTTATGTGTTAGTCTCTGCCATAAGTCTCTGAAACCAGTTAGCTATTCTGTATTTTTTTCAGGTTCTGAAGATCAGAATGATCAAATATGATGGGGACAAAGTGTTGCATGCAGGAATATTGAATTCCTGGCAGTGAAAAACCTTAGGTTTTGTATGTTATTTCAAGCTATCTCGGTGCACAATGACTTGTAAAGCAGAGAATAAATAAACTTTATGACAGCAATGCAAGCTGTTCATGGAAAAAAGCAAGCAGAGAACACATAGGTGTCTCTTCCTTTAACAGATCTCTTACTGCTTTTTTCCTGGCAAACTTGATCATGTTGTTAAAGAATTGTGACTCTTACATGCTTACAAAATTTACATAATATATAAGAAAAAGGCATTAATATATAGTGATGAACAAATATCTCTGTTACTTTTGCACTGAAGGCAGATGATTTCAGCTGCATCACGGTTCCCACTCATGTTCTGTAATTGTGATTACAAATTTTAAGATAAAGGCTCCCAAATAAAGAAATCTTAAGATAAATGTTCTCAAATAAAGTGGTTTTATGACTGATAAGGGAATTGACTAGCAATTAAAGGAATGAAATACAATGAAGACCATTTATCAGAGTCCTAAGGAAAATAGACCTAGTCTAATATCTTTGGGAGCAGAATTACACAGTTGGTTGATTAAAATGATATTATCAATATAGTACAGTTACATTACTTTAAGGTGTTTGACTTGTTACTGGATGATTCTTAAACACAAGGACACAATAGTGACTCAGAGTGCCCAGCAGCATGTGTGTTCAGAAATGCCTAGATGATACTCTTATTTCTATCTTTTTTTTCCTGTGACCTGGTAGTCGCAATTTAATAAAAATTGTTAATTTTATGGATAATGCTAGAACCAGGAAGAATATGCAGACTATTGTCTGACATAATCAGGCTACTGTGTTTCCATTTTATGTCATGGAGTAGTACCAGTGTGAAGTGCATTATGCTAGAAACAAGGCATGAGGAAGTGCTTGTTGTGACAGTGATTACGAGATGAACTTGGTAGTCCTAGTACTCAACCAGTAAGTTTTTATTGCTATTTTTGCCCTCCCCTAGAAAGTGCCCATCTTTTGATAAGAAATAGTGGAACCAGAAGTAATAAAGTAAGAAAGCTTTATTATATTGGTATCAGTTTCTCAGTTTGTATACCAATGCAACATTGTGTCTATGTCTGCTGCTCTAGTTGAAGGTCAATTTTGTGTAAATAGAGAGGGTTTACAAAGAAAAAAAGAGAGAGACTTTAATGGCAGAAGAAACATTTTTTCCAGTGTTTGGCTGCTGGAAATCAGATTATCTGCAGCCTTGTTGGGCTATTCTTGCCTCAAATTATGAACAGATGGAGAACTAGTCTATGATAGAATGTCTGAGATTCAGAGTTGCTCATGAGGGAAAGGGGTGAGGAATCTTGAGCCTTTTAGTGAAAACATCTAAATATTTGGTGTCACCTGCCATGCAAGGACTGCCAAGCTGCAGTCTGCAGCTACCCTTCCTCAGCCAGCTCTGTGTCTGTGTGTGCTCCAAGCCCTGACATAGTGAAAGCACTGATGGAAGTAATCTGAAATCTAATAAATTTGTTTTAAAAAAGGTCCCACCATTACTTCAGTAATGGAGAAAATTTTAAACCTTATAAATTCTTAAATAAAGTTTGTAGAATACTTATTTGAAACAGATCTAAGACAACTACATTGATTTAATCCAGTAAATGGAATATATTCTTGAATTCCTACATTACAAATAGGTAAGGTCAAGACCCTCAAATGTGCAATTTGTGATCAAATTTAGTGAGTCTAACAATGACTTATTTCATTCTGGTTTACTGCTTCAGATCATTAGGGTAACTTCAACAGTCATTTCAACTTTCCATATACAAATTGAGTGAAGTAGAAAAAGTTACAATCCAGTGGTCCAGAACATTTTAAGAGGTACTTGTAAATGAACTTGAGTTTGGAATCTGCTGTTAATCTTAAAGACATTTAAAGTGTAATCTGTCTGAAAAGATCTGCAAGTTTAAGGAATGTGGAAAGAAACCTTTTAATTGGTGCCACCCTCAAAGCTGTGAATGAATCAGGCTGGTATGTCAGAGAGACTAAGAAAGTATTTATGAAGCAGCTTGTTAAAGGAAGGAATTATTTCAGGCATTGGGTCTACTTCTTCCCTTCTGGAGTTTTTCATGGCAGCATAACTAAGGCCACATGACTTTTTGTGTTTCTTTCAAATAATGTTTAACAGGTAAAATAAATATATTTGAGGTGGTTTAGATACTATTGATCCTTCTCTAGAGCAGAAGGTGGCTGGGATGACTCCTGTTGACCTCAGTCTCTTTTGTTGTGTATTGGAGTACCCTTACATCACACACATCATTCCCCACTCTCTGTGCTGGACCCCGCCCAATCCCTCACCAAATCTATGATTTTATTTATTTAATTACTTATTTTAAGGTCAGTGGCTCTGTAGAAGCTGGAAGGTCACAGAAGGACTGAAAGGCTAGTTCCTCATGCTTCCTGAATAAATCCAAAAATATCAGAAAGTGCCTGTGTAGTAACTGGAAGGTGTTACAGCCTCAGAGTGAGATTCATAATAGCATCCTGTGGAAGGACCCATGTAAGGCAGCAACAAAAATGGTGAAGAGGACTCCAGCTTTTAATTTCTGACTATTTATGCATAACTACTTTAATTGGAAACTTCCTGGAATACCTCCTATAATTATGCAACTCATTCATTTCTGTGAAAATTGCACTCTGTGATTGTGTGACTTGTGGTCTGATCTGCTATAGTATTAAGAATAAAGTAGTCATATCTCAAACTAGTTATTCCAGACCCTCTCTTGGTCAGCGAACAAACCAACAATGCAACAACCAAAGTAATTGTACTTGTAGGGCATGGCACTGAGGTGGTCATCCAAAGAAAAGTCAGATGGACTGTGCTGTAAAACTCATGGATGACTGTAGAGGAAACCTGAAGTGACCAGCTTAAAGATAAACTCCAGCCACACATTTATGGACAAGGTGTGTGCAGGTATGCTGTGTAAGGTGTCTGGCTGTTTGTTTGCCTGGTACTCTGCTGACAAGTGATCATGTTGGTGCAGTAGCTAACATCTGCCCAGCTGGGGAAGATGGACAGCATGAGGATCAGAATCAGTGGGTGAGATACTCCCATTACTCTTCAGAACAGTAAATGAGTATTGAGGTCTCAGAAGGACTCAGCTCTGAGGCGGCTGCTGAAATTGTTTCTTGGTATATAGTGAGACATACAGCCAGTTCTAAAAGGCTGTTTTTAGATCATGGACATATCTGCCAGCACAGATAAGGAGCTGCCTGCCAATTCCAAACATACGCACCCGACACTTACTCAATCACACACAAACATAAACAAGCAAATAAACAACATCCTCTTCCCATAAATATATTTTTTTTCCCATTCAGATGGAAAAGGAAAAAAGAAAGTCTGCTATTGTTTTTTTACATTTTTTTTTCCTTTCCTATTTTTAAATACAAGAAGGGGCTCAGATACTATGTTGAAGCTGGAGCTATTATATGCATAAATAAAATATGCAGATTCAGGACTTAGTTTAATCCTATCTAGCTGGTGAATAAAAAGAAATAAAATAAAATAAGTTTTGCAGCTTTGTTAAATGAGACTGGAATCCATCCATTATGTGGGTCCTTCAATCTTCACACTACATG